TTGGTCATTTGAAGTTCGTATCTGAGCTACAGAGCAGGCTCAGAGGAAAAATAATGTCTTGTTTTAGTGATGAGGTGTACTACGAGGTTTTCCTGGAAAACCTTTTTTTTTGTGTGCATGTGTGCTTTTTTTGTTTTTGGAGCCCTTAGTGAGGCTCCACGTTTCTCTAACCACCAGCAGACCACTGACACATGCTGAATGAAAACTGACCCGGGTCACAGTTAAGCTACAAAAAAACATGTTCTGCTCAGCTACAGCAAAGATTGTCGCCATGCTGTGCTTTCTTCTTTGTTTTTTTCTTTTTTACAAAGCAGTCAGATTCAGACGAGTCCTTATGCAAAGATCGCTTCTAGCTAGCTTGAATTCAGGAAGATCTGACCTGATGCATGTGTGCAGTTGGACATGAGGCGCAGCTTTGCAAGTTGACTGCATAGTTGGAAATGTTGGAGCTGTAGTCTGAAAAGGCCACACTCTGCAGTAGCACAATGCATGGCTGAAACCTTTGGGGCTGAAGTTATCAGGACTCAACAGTTTTTTTGTTTATTTTATTTTTATTTTTTCAAATGTAAATAACATATGGCTCCAATTCATATAGTATAATCTTTATGTAGATTATTGCCAGGTAACTAAGGTGATGGATTGAGGTGAAGAATAGTACTATGTGTATTAAAGTGCTTTTCATAATTATCCCAAAAAAAAACTGTCCTTACAGGCACTGACAATTTTACCAATTTATTACCCCATTTAATGTCCAATTATAACATGTAAAATTTTGTTTTCTGTAAACCACCTGCTACTTGTATCTTCACCAAGCCATGCATCTTCTATTTTTTACAATCATAATGTTTGAAAAAAAAACAACAACAAAAAAACTCCTTACTTAACATCCCTTACTCTGTATTCCGATTCACGCTTTTATCCTGTTACTGATATTAAAAGTTTAAAAAGGCCCCTGTGACATTCAGGTAGCAGTTGAGGTTTCACATTTTCATTATTTAAGCTTTCCCCGTAAACGTCGCTTGATCTTGATCATTAAGTATTTATAGAAAAGCTGAAAGGAAACTGAAAGGTGCTTTTCATTTTGTTTTGTTTTTCTCCCGAAAAGAAGCCAATGCAGATTGTGATCGATTTCAAGCTTTTCTTCTGAGATGAGTTTCCCCTTTAACTCCTCGATTTGAATTCCTGTTGAAGTCTCTGTGTTGGTGATGGACATGTCTGAATGGCTGCTGGGGTGAGGACTTGGCATGCCAATATCGAGCCCATTTACCTGCGATAGGCTGAGCGTCTATAAACCCTGACTGTGATTAATTTCTCCTGCCGTTTTGCATCTAGTGGAAAATTGAAATCCAGATGGGGGTGAATCTTGGGCGATGACGAGACAAATAACATTCTGGCTTTACAAAGATTCATAGCTGGTGAATTATTAATATACATACATATAAACATAATTCCCAGACTTTCAAATAATGTTTGATACAGAACAGTTAGTTTTGCTTTACGATTACTTGTTAAAAAGATTGTTCAGCTGCGCAAATCATGGGGGTCCCATGGTTTTTGCTTATCAATGACTGCTCATATCAGTAACCTGACCCTGTAAACAGGCTTTTTTTCTAATAATTACGAGCAGTTTGAATGTAAACCACGATCTTTCACGCAACATGTTATGATGTCAATTTAACAGACTATTTGGATTTTATTTTGACCGTTTCAGGAAGAAAATGGATAGCCGGTTGTCATTTTTACGCAAGTGTCAGTTGAACCACTAACATTGTTTAGACTGTGATTTGGCACCAGCGACTAGCGTTAGCATTCCTACGTCATCTAGATTCCATCAATACATTAGCCTCTCTCTCTTTTTTTTTTTTTCTTCTTTTTTTCCTGTGTATTGATTATCTTCTGCTGTCTTCGATTCAATGTTAACATCACCGTTCATAATTAAATGTCTTGATCATACAGGAGGTTTGATTGCTATTGATAAATTTATATCTTATGACTGGTTTAAGTTCTGTTTCACCACAGGAGTAAATGCAGATTAAGGTTATTTTGATCACTGTCATTAAAGATGAAATGTGGAGATTTCAGATTAAATTTTTGTTCAGAGATTTAGTTCCTGTCCCTTCGCACTCCAGTCCCCCAGAGACACCACCAGATAACCTTTTTTTTTTTTTTCTTTTAAGAGTTAGGATTGTATGATGTGTAAGATTAAGTATAAAACAATAAAATCACAAAGTTTATTTTAAAGTATACTTGTCTTTTGTTTTCATTTTTATGAAAAATGTGTTACTTTTTTATATATTTTCTTACATTACAGCTACAAACATTGGATTTTATCAAGATTTTAGGTGGTAGAGCAATACATAACTACGTTTTGCTATAATAAAAATGATCTGCCTCCTTTACTCCAGCACACCTAAGGAAGTTCCTGGCTACCAATTGACAGATTTCACAAGGAGAAAGGCATTGATTTTAAAAGGTCACTTTTGTGGTTTGCCTCAAGTCAAATAGGGGAAAGCATGCATGTGTAAGATGATCTAGTTAGATTTGATCTAACTAGAAGCACGGAGATGTAGGGATGCTTTTCTTCAGGAGGGACAGCAAAACTGGATGGAATTAAATGCATTGCAATCTTTGAAGAGAGCTCATTGGTGTCTGCAAAAAGGCAATAGAAGGATTTAAGTCAAAGCATTCTTATATACATTAGGATGGCCTATTTGGTGTCCACAGCAGAGTTTAATTGAGAATATGTGGCACGTCTTGGAAATTCAAACACCTCTCCTCATTCTTAGCCGACTTTAAAAATAAAAATGAACATGGCTGACGCATCCCAAGATGTGCTGCCGTACAAAATGCTGTTTTGGGAGAGGCGGAAACAACCATCCCACATTTCCTCTGATTTCTGTTTTTAACCAAATTTTGTAAATTATCCTTTCCCTAATGCACAAACTGCTCATCTTTTGCATAAAGTTACACAAAGCAATAAAAACGTTTGCTGTGACTAACATAATGTGACTGATGGACGTCAATGCTTCTGCGAGGCACTCGTGCACTAAATGTTATGTTCCTGATATAAACTGGCACTCTTGTCTGCTTTTGTACTTATTGTTTGGAGACTCAACAAAATGCCATTGGCACAAAAGCTACCATTCAGCAGCACATAATGTGTTTTAATGTTCAGCAACACCAAGAGCCTGCCCAAAGGAAACGAGGCTGTCTTGTCTGTGACCACTGCTGTTTTGTAAAATATTGTGAAAGTATAATTACATGATCAATTGCACTCTGCTGAAGCTGTGCATTCTCTGATAGTATTGCAAACACTCGCACCAAAAACAGCTGTTAGCAGTGGGATCCTAAATCATATAAAAATGGGTCTGTGTAAAGTGTCCTACATAAATAAGTGGAGCGCTATTGCAGGTGCTGTCTTTTACTAAAACATCAGAAAAAAAAAGAAATATGAAGATAGATACTTGAATATGTGCTGCAGAAATCTAAATGTTATTGATAGACTGTGCACTGTGACATCAATTTAGTCACCCCAAAAAATGACACCCATATTTTCAGCTATGGGTGTCATTCATTTTTGCTCAAGATTCAAGCATCTGGAATGAGTCCTCACAGAAGCCCTGCAGGCCTAAAGAAATTAGATGTTAAACACAGTGCACACACTGGTATAGAGAACAACTGTGTTATAATAAACATGCCTAAGTTGTCTTCTTCCAAACTGTCACTTCTGTTCTTGTAGTTTTGTAGTTCTAATTATAGTCTCACTGCTTTAGCACATGCAAAGCAGTTACAAGAAGCAGCATGTTTTTCAATCTTCTCTAATATAAAACTGCGTCCCATAGTTGTTACTGACCTGAGACAAGATGGCTTCTATTTTGATGACTAAATGTGATTCAAACAAGTTAAATTTGGGTGCATCTCAAATCCTGTACAGAAACTCAATTATATTTTGTTTGAGCATATCTGTATATGAGGAAAGCGACTATTCATCAAATAAAACTGAATTTAAGGATTTCTTTGCAATGTGCTTGATTCTTTTTGAAAAAATTGCTTAGTTTTAATTTTTGACTTTGTAATCGCACTTTAGAAAAAACAAATTTCACTTCTGTCATGTACTTTTAAACAAAGATAATTTTTATTGTATTTAGTTCATTAGATAAGTTGCTCCTAAAAGCTACTTCTGTATAGTTCAAAAATTTTGAAAGCATTTGGACTAAGGTTTTAACATCAAGTGATTCCAGCACTGATGCTTGGAATAAAAAAAAATCATTTTCTCTGTAACAGTTTAGTTTTTCTGTAAATTTTCAGGATACTAAGTGGGGATTGAAGAGCATGTATGTGAACAGCAATCCCCTAAAATCCAGTCTAGAGTTTACAGCAAAATCTAGATTTTACTCATATTAATTTTACTCATATTACTCACCACTTGAGTAATATGAGAATATTTATTAGCTGTCAAAAGTCAAACACAACCTGCAGCAACAATCTAAAGGCCATGCAAAACTGATAAAAGCATTTCAGTACTCTAATCTTGAAGGAAATAAAGGCAGAAATAAAGATTTGAACATGTTCTAATAATAGACCTAATTAATTAAGAAAATTATTAATCAGTAAATTATTTTTAATTAATTGAAGTTACTTGAGCCAGACATTTTACTCAAGAGTGGTGATAATGCTCACTACTGCTCTCAAGTAAAATACAAATAAAGGTGCTTTTACTTGAGCACTTTTATTACAAAGAAAAATAAGGTGTAACAAAACTATTCCTAAAAGCATAAGTAAGTATAAGTTACTCCACAGTTATGCTTGTAACACTACATTCTAGCTTGAACCAGTTATTGGTGTCTTTCTTTCGTCAACAATTGGTTCTTGTGCGACTTGTCCCTATTTATAGCAAATTATTTAAACAAGCTGGCGTGGGTTTTGTCAAACCGAGTCCGGGAGCTTCCGTAAGAACAACAAAAAACGTTTCGCGTCATTTCCGGTCATCTACGCTTCCGGATGCGGTGAAATAGCAAAGGCGAAGGAAAGCACCGCTCTTAACCAGGATTAATTCAAAGGACAAGACGCCGTCGGTGCAATTAGCTGAGATACCAGCAAAGCTCACATGGGACCCATGTAGGAAGTTTAAGTCATTTCAGACGGTTTGTTACGGCGGTCTTCATGTGAGCTGTTTGGGTTTTTTACGGAGTGTTTATATCTCCCAGTGGCTAGCTCGAGCCTCGGTTAGCGGGTGCGCAGACAAACGGCTTCTCTGTGAGATGATAATCGGACTCGCGGCAGTTTAACCTGATATAGCACTCCCTCTTTTCCTTGTTCAGGGCAGCTGTCGGCGTGTTTGGTGTTTTTCTTTTTTTTTTTTAGAAGCGTTTAGATTCTTTTTTGTAGCAAGTCAAAACACAGCCAATCTGTTTGTAATTAAGCAAACAAAAAAACCCGAGGATTTTGGCCCATCAAGCCCACGGGTTTGCTATTTAAAGAAGTAAATAGAGTCTAAAGGCAATTATAGAACTTTACAAAATGGCTGTACCCCGGACTTCAGTCTCTTCCAGGAAAAACCTGCCGATAGTTTGTAAATAGCATTTCCTTGTCAGCTGTTTGGCTCCACGACTTTTTTTTTGTTGTTGTTCTGCTGGTAGAGGACCTTAACTACACCCTGTGTTGGAAACTGAAGAGGAATATCTTTTATTTATTTATTTATTCTCGTTTGTCTGAGGAAAGTTTTTATTCCATACGCTGAGATCTTCAACTCAACAGGTACGTCAGCTTTTCTGCTCAGCATAATGTGAAATAGAGCAGTTTTGTTGTGGTTGCCTGATGAATTAATTATTATTTCACTGACAATGACAGCAGGCTGTGCAGTAGGTACTTACAATTTGAATATTGGAAATGCAGAAGACCATCAAAGAGCTCTATCATGTTTTAGCCCAGAAGTCTATTTGCAAGGAGTGTCTGGCTAAGATAGATCATTTGTGACGAAAGAGGCAAATTAAATAACATTTTAGAAAAGACAAAGGAGTTATTGCTCTAGAGTCTAAACCATTTGAAAAGGATCAGTTTTTTTAAGAGTAGGCCGTAAGGAAATAAGGAATAAATTGAAGCAAGAGACGTTTTAAACCTTTGCTTCCAACCTTTTGAGATGCCAACCCCAATTTCAGCCAGTTGTTTTGCTACATTAAGGCAGGTAATGTAAAAGAGGGAAATAAACGCAATTTTTACAATATTTAGTTCTAGATTTTATCCAGAGAAGTTGTTTTCAATCAAGAATTCAATCAAGAGAAGTTTTTGTAAACCATGTTTAACAAATGCTTGAAAGCAAAGATTAAAGGGTCAGGGTTTGAAATGATAACCTCCTTTAGCAACTTGTATAACTTATATTTTGGACAATTTAGGTTTTCACCGTGACAGTAAGATTTACTAAAGACACAAATATACTGTACTCCATTTAGCCTACTTGTCTTTTATAAAAAAGTCGTCACAAGCTAAATTTTATTTTAAAAAGCTTCTTACACCTTTTTGTGCTTCCTTTTCAATATTGCAAATTGTTAACTTTGAGCAGTCTTTCCTCAGTAACTCTGTCATTGAGTGTTGCAATAAAGAGTAGAGCTTCTGTGTGGTGCATTCACTGACCAGAAAAAGATTAGAATTTATAGATAGATTGAAACTCTCACAGATTGGTCATCAGTCAGGGCAGATCAAACTGAATATTGACCAGTTCTAGTCAACAACTCAAGAAAACCTTTGCACAGTGCTGTGAATCCTATATTATAGTAATGTTTGTACAAAACAAAATAATCTTCCTATTTAATCTGGAAAAAATATACATATTTTTAGTCATCATCTTTGTACCCAGATCTTCTAATATAGGATCATGGACTTGATCATATGTATTCTATTGTTGAGAAACTTGCCAGAAATGCAAAAATGATCATTATGGCCACCTCCAGGCAAGTGGCTCGCTCATGACATAGACATAAGGCTCTTGTTGTGATGTATATTCACTGGTACAGTGACCCTCTTGTCTTCCTGCACCACAGTGAAGGATGAATGGCCTCTCTTTCAAAGAGCTCTGCTGCCTGTTCTGTTGCCCACCATGTCCGAGTCGCATCGCATCCAAGCTGGCCTTCTTGCCTCCGGAGCCCACATACGCCTTTCTTCCAGACCCTGAAGCGGACCCCCCCACACTGGGCGCATCCGGGACGTCGAACCTACGGTCAAGGAGTGGAGCTTCGGTTTCTGGAGGAGCCGGTGGGGTGGAGGGGAAGTGGAAGCTTCACCTGACAGATCGAGCAGAGTTTCAGTATAATCAGCGAGATCTCGATGAGATCGAAGTGTCCTTCACTCGTTCCAGCAGGGGAAACCGAATCGGCTGCATGTACATCCGTGTTGCAGGGAATGCCAGGTGAGAAGCTGGAAACATTCTTGACAGTTTTTTGAGATTGTGATGTTCCAGATTTGAGATTTCTTTTCTCTTTCATTTTAAAGTTAGTCTCCCTTCCTCAAATGCATCTAAATCATGGGGTGTGACATGTACCAAATATGTAGGTAGCAGGTATCTGTAGAACTTGATATTACTGTCCATAGCACAATAATACGGTATGCTTAGGGTGGATCTGCTGGCGAAGCACAACACCATCCATTTATCTGAGACAATAGCGGCATGCTATTGTGTCACATATGTGTTAGTCTGACAACACATGTGCTTAGGTTGAACCCTGCCAGTCTAACTGGAGGTAGAAACTTTCTCCTGAACATCCTGGACCTTAAAATGGTGAACTGAACCATGTGAACCTGTACTGCTCAGCAGAAACGAAGCTTAAATGTTGCTGGTGGCCAATTCTTGAGCCCTGGAGTTCATGCTATTGATCTTATTGTAGAGATGCACCAGTCAGAGAGAATGATTACTGATCTTTGTTTTTGTTAAGGATAAGTATATTTTATATATATTTTATTTTTACTCATTATCAAAAAAAGAAACTGAAATCTGAAAATATTGGATTCAGCTTATTGTCCTCCCCTTGTTCCTGTTAACTCACTTACAAATTTCCTCATTGTAGATTTTTCTAATTGATTACTGTCAACTTTTCCCTAAAAGTCTAAATTTTCTTCCTTCTTTCTGAAATGTAAAGTTTTGGTTTCTCTTGTTTATTTTTTATGGTTGCGATCATGAATGAGCAGGGTTGCACTCAGTGATATTAGTCGGAGACAAAGTCGTCACAGGTCTGTGTCAGTACATGGCTTTATGATGCTGGTTTAAACATTAAAGAGTTTATGAGATAGGAACATAATTTAGATTCATTGAGGGACCAACCCTGCTAATATATCCAGTTGCTGATTAACTTCTAAAATCAGTTAAAGAATAAATCTTCAGAGGTCATAGCCATCTGGGTTTGCGAAAGCAGAAATACGGAAAAATATATATTTGATGCATATCAGTATAGAGAGCAACATGGTTTTATTTCATCATGGCAAAACCCACATGTTCATCTACAAAGCCCAGATATGATTTTGTACCTTTCTGTTATTAGGACTGATGGATTTAGAAAAAAGAGGTAAATTCAGTGTTTTGACAGATTTTTACTGAAATAGATTCAGAACAAAAGGATTATTATTTAGTGGCTTTATTTCATTTTGTTCTGCTCTTCATCTTGACACTTCTTTTACTAATGAGTCTTACTCTATTCATCTTATGTAGATATTGCATAAATAGCAGTTTTTACTATATTTATTTGCAATAAAAATCTTGTTATTAGCGAATCAGTTCTCGGCTATTAGCTGAAATCTTATCGGTCAGAATCTACAGACATATCTTAACATAACATTTCAGGCGTCTTCAGTACATCGATCAACTTTTCCTTTAAATCTGCCTCTTCTCAGATTTACCGTCCTTTTCTCCCATGGAAACGCAGTCGACCTGGGCCAGATGAGCAGCTTCTACATTGGCCTCGGCAGCCGTATCGGCTGCAACATCTTCTCCTATGACTACTCAGGTTATGGAGTCAGCACAGGCAAACCCACCGAGAAGAACCTGTACGCGGACATAGACGCTGCCTGGCATGCCCTGCGTACGCGGTATGTTGTTCTAGAATTGCCACAGACTCACAGGACTGTATTTTACTGACCTTAGGGTCCATTGAAGCACTAGAAATTTGTATAAATTAAAATTATTTTTTGTAAAAAAAAAACCTTGGTAACATTTAAAAAAGAAATCAATTTGAGCATTTTTCAGTTATTTCTTTCTGTTTTCTAAACTTTGATATCATTTGAAAAACTTTTTCTAGCCCCCATCTACAGACAAATTGAGTCATCTATACTTTTAGTGGAATGAAAATGTAATATTTATTGATTTTCCTGTTTTTTTAATTGTTAATTGAGTAAAATTAACCACTTTATTGTTCATTGTATCTTTTCAAAGTAAAGACTCAACAATCTACAGTTTCATAAACTATCTACTCCATGTTAATAACAAAATGTGGTTATAAAACTAAATCTCGAAATGCTTAAAATCCATTAAGTAAATTTGTGCACAAAAATTCTACTAAGTTCAAGATTCACTTTACTGTCATTCAGCCTCGATGCCGAAATAAATTACATTGCACAAGCTTGCATAAAAAATACAATAAAAATGCCAATATAGTTAAAAAACGAGGTTTCTATAATAAATATACCTATTTAACTGAATATAAGAGACTTCTGGGACTGGCCAACGCCAAGCTCTTCATCTACTTGAAATAGGATTTACCTCCCAGAAATCCCCAAACATATCACAGCTGAGATTAAAGGATGCTTTCCTTTAATGATTAAATGGAAGCTTTCCTCAGACTGAGGCCAGAGGTCATAGGTTACAAGAAAACTTCTCACTTAAGTTATGTCCTAACTAGGGGTTATGGTGTTATAACTCTTTCCCCAGTGAGAATCAACATTTTTATTTTCCAATTATAAAGTAAAGTTAAATTTTTCTCCTTCCTATTGTTAAAATGTTATTGAATCTCTTTTTTTCTGAAGATAATTTTGAAAAAAAGATTAGATATAGTTCTTTGAACATCTATTGTGAAAGACCCGAACCTTTTATAGTATCCTCAGTTTTCCACATGACTGTAGGTACATTTTGTTCACATCAACGTGAGAAGATGGGGCTTAAATTGGTAAAAGTTGTGCTTGGGAAAAAATAAAGATTGGTGGAAACATTTGTGTTTTGATACGCCGTTTATCTAGAGAGATTACTTACTGCAGAACAAAGTTACGGTTTTGTCTTCAGAAGTTGCAACAGAACCTTTGGTAACATCAGTATCATTCAACTTCATGAAGGTCAATTAAATGCAGGGCATAATGTTCAACCAAACAAACTTTCCAGGTAGATCTGTTGTCAGATCTACCTGGAAAACTTTGGTACAGGTGCCTCTAAATGCCTGTTCATCTACAAAGCCCAGATATGATTTTGTACCTTTCTGTTATTAGGACTGATGGATTTAGAAGAAAAAAAAGTAAATTCAGTGTTTTGACAGACTTTTACTGAAATAGATTCAGAACAAAGGGATTATTATTAAGTGGCTTTATTTCATTTTGTTCTGCTCTTCATCTTGACACTTCTTTTACTAATGAGTCTTACTCTATTCATCCTATGTAGGTATTGCATAATCCCAGAGAACATTATCCTGTACGGACAGAGCATCGGCACAGTTCCCACTGTGGACTTGGCTTCGCGGTACGAGTGTGCCGCCGTCATTCTTCACTCACCTTTAACGTCTGGGATGAGAGTTGCCTTTCCTGACACAAAGAAAACCTACTGCTTTGATGTTTTCCCCAAGTAAGTGTTTCTCACCCTCTGCTCAGTGCTACACGTTTCTTTCAAGGGATGCACCGAAATAAAAATTGATGTGCAACATTAATATGACTAATATTTACAAATGTGTATTCTATACCTAACTTTTTAACAGAGCTAAAATAAACACCAGTTGCATCGCTGTCACATGACCAAACAAATACACATGAACAGCCTCTTTTTCCCACCTGAAATGCAAAAGGCAGCAAGATGGAAGTAAACATTGGTTGATAATATCGGACCAATACCGACCTTATAGCAGATATATTGTACATTCCTATCTCTTAGCACTTTATTGAGGGTGTCCAAAGTGTGGCCAGTGGTGCTTCCCCCAGAAATAGTTTTGAATTAAAAGAACGAATAATGAATGTTTGCATCTGGAACTGGAATGTAGAGACCTGTTCTATAGTTAACGTGACATTTATTGTCGTTATATAGAAAATAAAAGTAAGTCAATATGATGCGGTGGAAAGGAGAGCAGAGCTAAGAGAATTTAGTGGGAGAGAAGTGGTGTCAAATAACAGCTTTCAGCTGTTTTCCTGTTATCTTTGTTACTTCAGGGGCTGAATGTGGAGCAGGAGAATCCCAGTTATAATTCACGCCTTAGTATTAGATTCTATAGGTGGGTGAGAAGCAATTTGTTCCAAGGAGAATCTGTCTTGTCTAAATGAGCTTTTGCATACAACAGATGACTGTGTTTGTAGCGTGAGGGCAGAAAGGGCTTCATCACCTCGTCCAGCAGATGTTTATGTGCTGTATTGTAGAATGAGGTACTGAAACACCTTTTGCAGAAAGATGTTCTCGCAGGTCTTCACAGGTGGTTTGCAACCATTCTCACAATCCTCTGCATACTTTCTTTTTTGGCCCAGTAGACCAGGATTTACCAGCTGCTTTGCCTGTTGCGTTGCATTTCCTGATTCCATTGCTTCCAGTTTGAAGCAACACTTCAAACCTCTGAGAGGCTTTTATAACCTTCCCCTGAACCATGAAACTAAACATTTATTTTCAGAGCTACTGAGAATTCCTTATAGGATCCCATGACGGCACTTTGCAGACGAGTGAGGGATAGGCCCAAGTTGAATGAAGTTTAAGGCTTAACTAGCTACTGTGGTGTTGTATACGGATACAACACCAAATGCTCAAATCAGCATCGAGCATTTACATACATTCAAAACAGCACAATGGTCTAGTATGGACAGTGTTTTTTCATTTTTCTTACTTTATTTTTAGGTTTTTGTTGGCTCTAGTGGCCTTTGAGTAGTCAGATAGGAAAGCGGGTTGTGAGAGGGAGGAAATGCATGCGGCAGACCTCCATCTTAGTCCTTGACGTATATGAGTTGCACGTTTTTACCCCTGCGGTTTTCCACGTTTAATTGAATTTCATACAACTAACTGTTGCATCACTAAATTTATTTATTTTTCCTCGGAAAACACCCCAGTTTTTAGAAGTCACCAGGAAAGAAACAAGTTGAGGTGACTTCCCGAACATCTTAATACTATCTGGCCAAACATTATTGAGATGAAAGGCTGAACCAGTAAAACCAGTCATGTGAACTTTGATTTGCATTTTTATCTACTTGATCTGGTACATATTTGTGCTGCTGCAATGTGGGTTTTGTACTTCAACATATTGCTGTTTATGAAAGTGTGATTTTCAGTTGCCCCATAATGTCCCATTAAGTTTTAAAAACTATATTACTATATTTATTATAGGAATTATTTGTGGTTTTAACAACATTATCTGTGAGTGAATTGTCACTTTAAAACAAGGGATATTTTTAAACAATATTGACATTAGTTGAAAATAAAAACAAAATTAGTTCATATTTTAACTTGTCTTTAGCGTCTTTTACCGGCTTTTATTTTTGCTTTGGTTTTATTAGCATAGCTAACAGTACAAAAACAGTCTGTGTTTGCATGTCCTGTTAAAATATTGATTCTTACCTCAAATCTGATGTTTCTAAAAGCTCCCAAATCTGTCATATTCCTTGATGGCGCAGGAAGCTGACGAGGATAAAACAAGATCTTTTCTGCTCAGCTTTCCTGTTTTCAGTTGAAAGTCTTGCTGTCGCTTTAACCCCGAGTGACATACAAATGTCTCAACATGTTCAACCCTAAAGAGAATATTTCTACACTAAAGAATGTTTCTATACTGTGACCTGCGAGCTCTTAGCACAAGAACATTCAGTGAATATTAACCATACTTCAGTGATTCGTAACTATACTTTTTGTCTTCCCTTTTCAGCATTGAAAAAGTGTCTAAAATCACTTCTCCGGTTCTCATTATCCACGGGACGGAGGACGAGGTGATCGACTTTTCTCACGGCCTGGCCCTGTATGAGCGCTGCCCGAAGGCCGTGGAGCCCCTCTGGGTGGAGGGCGCTGGACACAATGACATTGAGTTGTACGTTCAGTATCTGGATCGCCTCCGGCGTTTCATTGGACAAGAATTGGCTGTTCAGCACGCCTGACCTTCACGAGAGCATCATCATGTCATTTGATTCTTCCTCCGGCACTTAACACGCTGCCTCCCTGTGTGGAAGACGGGAATAATGTCTTCTTAACTGTCCATCATGGCCCGCTGGACTACAGTGTCCCACGTTTCTACTGTAGGCCTCCACATAGACCACGGACCGATGAGGCACAAAGAGATCTTTATAATCAGATACGTTTAAGTGTGGAAGACGACGTTTAGACGGTTTCACTTAGCAGAAACCTAAATAGTACTGATCATGTTTTAACAGAGCAGATAATGTATCTATTCGGTGCAATAACATGGACACAGTCCACAGAACAATGGCATTTGATGATGTTCAAAGATAAGAAACCATGGAGATTTTCTAGTCTACTTATACATTGTGTGTGTGTGCGTGTGTGTGTGTCTCTATGTGTAAAACTTTAATCTGTTAACTAAAGTTGGCAGAATAATATTGAAGCATGGGAAACACTTTTGTTCTAAAAGTCTTCATGCTAAAAATGGGGATTTTTTTTCCGTTTTTTTTAACAGAAATTTTAAATGAGACTCCATATCGGATTTTACATCAAGTAATCATGAGATTTTTGTTTAATCTCTAACACACCTCTAGAATCAAGTGGAAACTTTTAATAAATATAGACTCGGATTAGGTTTGGTTTACTCTATAGTCTTTGTTTGTCGTGGCATTGGACTGCACTGCGTTGGAGGAAGTTTTCTGTCTTACGCGTGAACTGTGGTCTGAATTTTTCGGGTGGAAAAGGGACATCTGTACTGATTTAAGCTTGTACTCTGAGTCTTTGATTTAGTCTTCACTGTACTCAATGTTTTCCTCAGGTAAACTTGTTTTTGACATTTGGATGGGAGCGTTCCAAACTCATTCTGTTTATTTTAATAAGCTGAATATTTCTACAGGTTATTTCATGTCCTCCTTTTTTATTGTAAACCAAGTAATAATTCAAACTTTGATCCAAAAACCAATATACTCTTTGCAGGAAAGATTGATGAACCTTTGTCCTCCATCTTTTTTTCTTACCAACTCGTGTAGATCCCCGTTGGGGAGTGGGAATGGACAGAAGAAAGACATTCAGAATGTCTTCAAGTGAAACACTAAAGTTATTCCTTTTTGTTGATCTTTTCTTTCACACCAGCTCATGTTTGCACGTTGTTTTGCGACAGGAAGGTTAGCGTTAACACTAAACGGGCCTGGGTCATCAACTTCAAACCTGTAAACATCTTTTTAATATTGGTACTGCTTAGATGCCTTTCTAGCATCATACAGTGAATAAAACATTTTTTCTGAAGAATTATGTTGACTAAAAAACAATAATTCCCACTGTAAATACAGAGGAATGCAGGATCTAAGTACAGTAACTTTTTTTATTGTGAAGCACGACCTTTTTGCACAATTTCAAGCTAAAAGACGTTTTCAGGGGCTTCCCTCTGTCTTCAGTCTTTTTGATGATCTGTAAACACTAACATTTATGCACAAGCTCTACATTTTTACAAGTCCTGGTTTTCTTACAATCTCAATTCTTTTTCTTTGCAGATTTTTTTCCAATTTTTATATTAAAACTTATTTTTTAATGGGACTAATATTTTGAGCTTGGTTTGGGAAGAAAAGGTAATAATGTCCCTCCCACTTAGCTTTGTTTTTTTTTTATTTTGTCCACAGGCTGCAAACTACCAAAGTTTTAAATCATAATGAAACTCTCTGTGTTTAAAGCAAAGATTACACCATTGTTTACCCTTTATAGGTTCTTCTTTTAGCTCCGAGAGATGCAATGCAGCAATTTTCAAGGTTCTTCATCAGTTCCTGAACCAAAATGTCACTCAACGTTTCTGTTGCTGATGTTTTTTGTCTGATATGCATCAGGGCGAAAGGTTCAAAGTTGAATTTTTTTTCCGTCTCTTATTGATGTGATCTTATGTGTTCTAAGTTTGCATCCATGTGTGAGTTTGAATCTTTATGTAAATGGCTTCTTTTCTTACAAACTGCAGATCTCATGTAAATGCTCCCATTCTTTATTGTACTGACATTTTCTTTTTTTTTTAGGTTTAAAAGATTTAGTTTTTCTTCAAGAATTGAAAAGAATGAGTCAATAAAAAATACCCTGAAGTTAATAGTTGTTTGATTCTCTTTTTCTCAGCGAGACTGTGCGCCGGAGGGTGTCAGAAGAACATTACTGTTTCTTTTTTTCTACAATATTTTGGTTGTTTTTTGTTTTGATTTATTTTTATCTGGCTTAGTCTTTCACTCGAGGCTTTTCTGGCATTCTTTGAATAAATACCTCCCAAGGTTTAATGAGGAACATCCCAGAATGGCTTGAATGAATAATTGGCTGATAAGTAAACAGGTCTTTATTTAGACTTGTCAGATGTGCTGTTTGATCACTTGCTGGCTTTTTGGCTGCTGTGTCAAACAAAGGAGAAGGCTCAAAGGAGGTTTTGTTATTTAAACCTGTACAAGGACTGTGGTTCGTCCCGGCCTCAGTCTGCTGTCACTGTGAGAGCTGTGTGAAACAGATTGAGGGTCAGCTCCAGCCACTCTTCTTCTTCTGCTCAGACTAAGCGCAGCTGCAGTGGCATTTCCCCCCGCACACAAGGCACAGCGAGTGCAGGCAACCCTTTGACACGGACGCGTCTTCTTGCTGAACGGTGCCGAGCCACAACAACGGAGGAGTCAGACGAAGCATCTGACAGCTGCTGGTGTAAGGTTCTGCGTATTTGTGGCTGACAGAAGGCACAAGAAAGACAGATTATCATCCATGTTCCATTGACCTGTGACCGAGACAATCAGCTCGCTGCCATTCACAGATCAGAGCAGTTTTCTGTCTAAATGCTGGTTTTGCGTTCAGGGAGAAACTGATATGCACCGAATTGGCATTTAAAGTGGAGAGGATTCCCTGAAGCCTTACCGTATTTAAATCCAACTAGTAAATGTTTTAGTATGCATGCGAGGTTTTTCAATATCCTTCCTGCAATGGTGCCTGTTCGCAGATTTATGCCGTGTTCCCCTGATCTTGAGTTTATTCCTGTTGGCTGTTTTCTGCTGTGGGTTGACGTTTCTGCTCGGATTCACTCAGTGAACATTCAAGGACAGAGCAGCTCCTGCAAAATGCCAGTAATAAATATCCACCCTGACCGACAAATCATATTTACGGTGTGTCAGTGATGCAGACGGCTGCTTGACTGATGCTAGCCCACAGCCCCATCTCAAGCATTCCTCTTCCTCTCCACCAGCACCACCTAATGTGCCACAATGGACTCCAAGAAGGACTTTTTTCTTTTTTAATTTATCCAGATGTGATCTATGTCTCTCCAGATGAACATATGCATACAGTTGGGTTCAACATCACAAATCAGATCGGTCACTGTTTTTGGCAGGAATATAGAAAACAAATTGCTCATAGGAGAAATAAAAACTCAACAGTCGACAAAAGCATGCTGCTCCCTGTAACTGAATCAATAATTTGGAGGTATTTAGGTTAAATTATAACAGCAGAGTTCAGTAAATCATTTCGTTTTATAAATAAACTGGCTTGAAACAAACAGGTGTCAAGCGGGATGAAGGCAGAAAGTTTTGTACCTGCAGATGGGTCAGTTCAGACTTTGTTCAGAAGAACAACATACTTTGACCTAATAGATTATTGGAGAGATTCAGAAGTCAAGAAAATGATGGTCTGCTCAGCTAAAATATACCAAATGCTTTGGAAAGGAAACCAAAACCAGAAAAAAGTAGAAGGAAAAAGAAAACCACCATTCAAAGAATGACCACAATCACAAGAGTGAGCCAGTAATTAGTTGGTCTACAGTTGTCTGTTAATACTGTGACATTTGCTGCACTGTTAAATATATACAACAGGCTTTACAAAGTTGATCTGAGCAAACACAGATTCAGGAAAGAGGCCCTGACTGCTGCAGTCAAGTCAGCAGAAATGTCCCCCACTCCAGTAAATATCCGTGGCTTATCCTGCAGAACGGCACATTGTTATTCCAAACAGGAAGCAGAGCGCTGGGCATCACAAGACCATGGACATGCTGTGATGTACTTAGAGAGATGTGCTCAAAATATATCTATCTCAAAATCAAACGTCAAACAGGCAAGTTCGATAATAATGACAATAATTTATTTATTCATGTAGAATAAGAATCTTTGGCAGTGGAGAACAGGAAAAGAGGATGCGTTTTAGGAAAACATCTCAAAGTGAAGTGTTGCATGAAAAAGCCTGGCTCAGCGACACAAGTCCCAACTGTGCGCTGCTGGAGTATAACCGGTCAGACTGGTCAGCGTCGTATTATGACCGCGACCCTGTGGGCACCTGCCGATTCTGATCTGATTTAGTCTGAAGGGAACACTGGCCTGGCCTGTAGATGGGAGGAGTTTTTATGACACAGATGGATAATAAGATAGAGTGTCCTTCTGCATTAGTCAAAGTGAAATCTGGCACAGATGGTCTTTTATAACAATTTGAGTTCATGAACACTCGTGTTGAAGATCTCCTGTTACCCCCACATTGGTGAATACAATTCTGAATGAAAAAAAAAGAAATAATACAAAAACAATAAAAAAAAGAACAAAAACATGAACTCATTTAGTAAAGAGGGAGTAAAACCACTTACAGAGTGGTTCATTCATCCTTCAGATTCACATAACATTGACATCTGTCAACTGGCATCAGTCTGAGACATTTATCTGCTTTCTCTTTCAGTAGGATGCCAAATTCATTTTCAGTCCTCACACATTTTATTCCTTCTTTCATGCGAAAAGATAAATCTGCATCAGAAAGCAGCACTAATTGCACCTCTTCACCCCGAAGACAGGGCATGTAAGGCCTTTTCAGTATTTGCCAATGACTTGATAAAACCAAGTACAGGAACCAATCAGAATGCACCAACACAGCATTCGTCACACAGCTCACAATGTGAGGGGCAGGGGAGGGTGAACGCATACACACAAACATATACACACATATATGTACACACATACACTGTGCACACTGTGCACAAGCCAGACAAGGGCTGTTCAAGACGCCCGACTGGGGAAAAAAACTGACATTAAGTTTCTTTCAGTCAGGTAATACGGTTCAGAATACTGTTGAAGGCCCATTCAGTCATTATTAGTAAAGTCAAACAGGACTGAACACCAGAAACTTGCTGTTTCATTTCCGTTCAAAGAACATTAAAGATTCATCTACACAAACAACTCATTTTCACAATACTGTTGGAGGTCGGGGAGTTCGGCTTCTCCCCGCCCGTGCAAAAATCTGTTGGAGGCCACTTGGGGTCACTGTTGCACAGTTGCACATTAAGGCTGACAAGGTGATGATGGCACAGTTTGTGATGGGAAGAGTCTGAAAAAACAGTCTCGGAGAGCTCACTGAGACGCATCGGGTCCATATTAAATAACTCAGAGCTCTCAGTTTATTAATGAATTCTCCCACTGCCACGATCCAAAGTGGCTTGGATGAGCGAAGAGGCCAAGGGAAGACCGGAGGGAGGTCACAGCGTGACTTTGCTGAGTCTGACCGAGAGGCTAGAGCGATGCTGAGCGCGAGGAAGAGTGGAGCTGCAGCGGCTCCTCAGCTGCACGGGTCGACCGCCCGAGCCTCGAGCGCGCAGCAGGAAGTCGAAATTGGCTGAGGTGTTCATGGCGTAAAAGACGTTGGCGTTGTCAGGAATCACCAACTCTGAAAGACATCAAAGAGAAGACAAACAGTATTAAGAAGCTGTCAGTGATATATTACTAGGTGAGATCAAGGTCAAATAATCAGCAGAGAATATAAATTGTCACTAAAGTTGAAATCTTTGTTTTTTCGTGTGTGTGAACTGGTTTGCCTATAAATTACAGTTTTTTGGCAGCCATGTTTTTACCTTTCTCCTCAGAGATGACCTGCACCAACTCAAATCCCTCCTCTGGCTCCACCTCCAGGTTGTGCTTTGCCATGGCTCGATTTATCACAGCTGGGGTCTTGTCCTGACTGGTCAGCTATTTAACAACAACAAACATATCAGATTACACCTGCTTCATCACAGATTGCCTCAAAATGTGAAGCTCTTTTCTTTTGAAAACACAAAACCTGTGTTTTTGCTCACCAGGATGCTCTTGTACAGATTGCCGTTGCCTTGCTCCAGACTGACTCTGATGATGCACGCGTCCTGGGCTTGGGTGTTGTACGCCGGGGTCTGGCTCAGGGAGCAGGGGGACATGGGCGTGAGGGAGATGCACCGCCTGTGGGTGCCGGGACGCCCAGGCAGCGACGGCGAGGCGGGAGTCATGGAGCCGCTGGCGGTCGATGAGTTGGTGTCCATGGAGTGGAGCGAGGTGCAGGACGATGACTCTGAGAGCTGAGGAGACACAGATGCGGTCATGTATGAATGTTATTTGAGGCAGCAGCTGAAGGGAGAACAAACTGAAACAAAGTGATACTTTTGCAAGTTTTAAAAAGTAAGAACAGTTGACTCATTTGAAAGTTGCATTCTCTTTTCTTTTCTGTTTGTTTCTTTTGCCTTTCCTCCTGCCAGGAACCATAGAATTATGACATCCAGCTCAGCAATGTTTTGCACCAGCTTTTTACTTGAAATGTTAAACAATGTCAGATAAAAAAGTCATACATTCATAGAAATGATAAGAAATTTTCTTTTCTGAGGGATGACGTGTTTTTTTGGAATAGTTATGATTTATTTTCTTTACAAATGTCTCTAAGAAACTTAATTGACTGCAAACTTTAACAATCACTGTCTGATTTCCAGTGATGTCATTTTTTTAATACTCCACATGAAAGATGTCTAATTATTCCAAGTTTTTGTTCATTTGCACACTGACCTCAATAAATGTTTGCATCCCATGTTTACAATTTTATCTCATTGTGCTGTTGTTTGTAGTATGTTATTGTTTGCAGTTTTTTCCCCACTTCTTGTAAATAGTCTGTTTTTATTGGACAAAATAAACATTCACCTTGTTTTTCTTAATTACATCACTCCTTTGCATATTTCTCTTAATCTGAGTAAGCTTTTTTTTACAAACTGTACAGTTTGATTCTCATGTTTTAAATTTACCCTTGCTGTACTGTATCTCATTCTTATCTTTTATGTTGTGTGAATATACGCTCTTCCACTTACCT